ATTAATATAAGCAATCCCAGAGGGAAGGTGAATTTGCGAGGCACTGAGATGAGTTTCGTTAATGTGTAATACTTCAGGTAACAAGCAAGCAGTCAGTAAGGTGTTGATGTTCAGATGGCAACCGGAGAGATGAGGGTGTTACTCAAGAGTGACACTTGCTCTGAGGGTATAGATGGCACATTCACTGATGTTTTGGCCAGAGGGATGAGTGCATGACTCAGTAACTCTGTGAGATACTACATGAGGAGAGCAGGGAACCAAAGTCTATTTCTACATTTGGGTGTTTGGAGCAGGGAGTGGAACCAAAGGTGAAAGATATATAGTGACCAGAAAAGTGGGAAGAGAAAAGTTCAATGTAGCATCACAGAACCAAATAGAAGAAAGATTTTCAACAATGATTATAGAAAATATGTGTTGTTTCTATTATATGTCAAGTACTGATAAAAGCTTTACATGTTTTATTTCATTTTTATCTTCACAACAATTTTATCAAGTTAAGAATAAATGGTTGAAAAGTATAAAAAGCAAGTGTAGAATATGTGATTGTATAAAGAACAAAAGACAATGTAGCAATCTTAGAAGTTGACATTTATTGTTTGCTGGTGTGCTATGCACTGGACTAAGTATTTTTTGTTCTGTTCCATGAGGTAACTATTATTATCTCCATTTTTTTTTTTTTTTTTTTGAGACAGAGTCTCACTGTGTTGCCTGGGCTAGAGTGCCGTGGCGTCAGCCTAGCTCACAGCAACCTCAAACTCCTGGGCTCAAGCGATCCTCCTGCCTCAGTCTCCCGAGTAGCTGGGACTACAGGCATGCGCCACCATGCCCGGCTAGTTTTTTCTATATATTTTTAGTTGTCCAATTAATTTCTTTCTATTTTTAGTAGAGACGGGGTCTCTCTCTTGCTCAGGCTGGTCTCGAACTCCTGAGCTCAAACAATCCGCCCGCCTCGGCTTCCCAGAGAGCTAGGATTACAGGCGTGAGCCACCACGCCCGGCCTATTATCTCCATTTTTAAAAGAGTAAATGGAGGCTTAGGAAGGTTCAGTAACTTCTTCAAGGTGCAAGGGCAAGCTAAGATTAGAAAAATAATCAAGAGTCCTCATTTTTATTTTGTATTTGTTATAGCTGAAAGTTTTACATTAAAAAGGCTTTAAGTTAAATAATATGCCCCAAATTATTAAGTCATGAACATATATCCTACTCTGCAAAGCAGACTGATTTTATAACTGAAAAATTTCGAGAGAGCCGAAATGTTTTCCTTCTAATTGCACAGGCAGTAAATAGGAACTATGGATTTCAAAATCTTCTCCAAATATTGTCTACATGTTATAGCTGCTTTGACTCCTTTCAAAAGTAGTAGTCTACCTAGTCTGGCGTTAGTTGTAAAATTCCTTATTGGTGTCACAATTTCTTCTTACTACATGATATCATTTTTTCTGCAAATTTAGGTTTTACTTAACGCTATTTTGGGAAGACATTCAAGAGTCAAAAGCCGTAATTATGTGCTAGTTTGTTATTTATGGCTGTCTTCTAATATGCAAGGGAAGAATAGCAATGGTGAAACCCACACAATTTGGGTGTAAACTCCAAACATGAACATGTGGAATATTTCACTGTAGTGACCTCTACATTGTAGTGTAAATTGTAACAGTTGAGATAATTTTTAAAAGGAGAATAACGGTAGGAGTCCTGAAGAGATAAAATTTATAGATGATACATTTCTTTGAAAGATATTTTACAGACTCTGGCGAGATCCTGTGTAATAATGTTCTGCTTAGGAATAGCCTGCTGAGCTGCTAATGGTAATAATGTGACATGTTTGACGACAGAGGCCTGGAGTTAAGTTGAGAGCGGTTTTGACCTGCCCCTTGAATAAAATTAGCTGTGATCTTTTCATGTTTCTTTTGTTAAACTTGTAAATTATGATTTATATAAAGATCATTTAATTTTCTTCTTAGAGCAAGATATTAAATTCAAGAAAATTGGTTAGACTTACTCTTGAAAACTTTGCAAAACTGTTTTCCTCATTGCTGATTTTGAGATTTGCCTTATATTATTTGCTTCAGAATAATGATATGTATATAAATTTTTCTTTTGATTTTGACACAGTTTAGGAAAACCATACTTCAAGTGTGTTACTTAAAACAAATTGCCTCTTGTTTTCAGTTCCTACTGGTGCCATAATTTATTTTCACTACATACAAATGCATCATCTTTTCAAAGCTGATTTCAGATTTAAGTTTCATTTGATGGTATTTTGGTGTTCATACTACACGGTATTCTTATGGGTAATGTAAGAATGATTAACTTCATAATGAGGGGAACGTTCTAAATTGGAGTTTTCTAATTTATAATTTTCTTTACCATGATATTGTTATGAATTTTAGAAATTAAAATGATTTTTCTGGGGGGGAAGGGGTCTCAATTTTCAACAGAAATACAGCCTTCCTGTTCCAGCTTTCCAGTGTGTTTAGGTTTATAGGTTTCATTAAAACCTATTCATTAAAAAGGCTTTAAGTTAAATAATATGCCCCAAATTATTAAGTCATGAACATATATCCTACTCTGTAAGGCAGACTGATTTTATAACTGAAAAATTTCAAGAGAGCTGAAATGTTTTCCTTCTAATTGCACAGGCAGTAAATAGGAACTATGGATTTCAAAGTCTTCTTCAAATATCGTCTACATGTTATAGCTGCTATGACTCCTTTCAAAAGTAGTAGTCTACCTAGTCTGGCGTTCATTTCACAACAGTGTGTCAGGCCATTATGTTAAAAATGATGGTAGGCCAGCCATAAAGTGACAGATAAAGGTATTCAACCATACATATTTGACAGATTTAATAACAAATACGTAACAGAGCTCTGCGAAAAGTTTTATTATCTTATATATTCAGGAAGTATTTTTGGATGGCCTATCCCTAGACCTTTTGATCCTTGCTTTTTATAATAGTGATAGGCTATCCTGAAGATTATTATATAACTTTTGAAATAAAACATTCTTCAGTTGTGATTATACTCTGCCTAGTACACTATGTCTATGGCTACCATTACAACAAAAATTATACTATGTATGTATTTCAACCAGCATTTACTGAACACTTGCTGTATACCTAGAATTGTGCAAATGCTTTCACCTGAACCATCTCTTTGACTCTCTGCCACCTCCACTTCCACTCCCCCCCCACTAGTGAGATACAGTGAGATATAGGTATAATTACTTCCTTTTTATTAGATAAGGGAACTGATCCTCAGAACTGTAAATCACTGACACATCCAGGACCACACAGCTAATGAGGGGCAGGGCAGAGATTCCATCTTGAAGTCTTCTGACACCATACTCTATGCTTGGTTAATGCTACGATTCTAAAAATGATTCTGTTCCAAACTACTGCTTTTACAGATGGGAAATGAGACCCTGAGAGGGTGAGAAATTGCTCGAAGTTCTAACGATAAGTATTCTTCCCTTTCTGAGCTACTGTGCTTTCTTCATTCACCTCCAAATGTTTTTAGAAGCAAAATGGAACTACTCCATCATACACACTCGCTGTCTTATACTGCCTCCCAGATGAGCCCATCACTACCAATAAATGGGGATGATTTCTACTTCCCTCCCCAACCCACGTCTTTTCTGAGCTCTTTCTCTAGCTTTTCCCTAACGTCTAACCCTGGATGTCTCAGGAGAAAAAAACCTTAAAAATGTGGCTGTACAAAAATTGAAATTAACATCTTCCAGAAATTTGCTGACTCCTCTTAAAATGCTAGGATTTCTAAGGATTCCCTTTTTAGAATAATTATCTCATATTTCTCTCAGCTCTGATTGCATTATTTCCTTCACTTCCTTGAACTTAAGGTCTGTATGCTTTTGATTTCAGAATTTTCAGCTTTGAGTTCTCTCCTGAGTTTAGAATCTGTTTGTTCAGATGTTTCCTTGATATATCTTTCTGGGTATACTATATGTTTCTCAAATAAGTAGGTTCTATTCAAAGCTCTGTATTTCTAGCCATCTCCAAAAGTGTCTTATATTTGCATTATTGCTGTTGATTCAAGGTTTTACCATTTATTTAGGCTCTGAAGCTAGAATCTGTATGTCATCCTTTATACTTCCCTAATTTTAGTCCCTACGTTGTCAAATTTTAACAAGTTTACCTCTAAAATGCCTCTCAGATTTGGCTTCTTATTTTTGTTCTTACTTCCATTGCCTTCATCGAGGAAGGGGTTTAATCTAATACAACCAGTGTCTTTGCACTCTAGTCGAGTCCTGAGTCCCCTTTTACAGGAACGTAAAGAGCATTTATTAGGTTTCTGGAATGTGCCAGGTACTGCTAAGGTGCAAGGCAGGAAAAAAAAAAGACCCAATTCCTAAATATGGATGAGGTGCATTATAATAGGAAAATTTCTATGACTTTTCCCCTCTTTGTTTATATTTCTCTCTCTTTTTCCATCTTTCCCACCTTTCCTCTTTATTTTAACACAAACTCAATACAAGTAATTTGTATTAACTTTTATCTATAGCTATCATGTACAGTGTTCTTGTTTATTGATGAGATTCCTTCAAATCTCATTGTAATTTTTTTCAAATTTGAAAATATGAAGTGTCAGTATTACAGAGGGCATTGTTGTGCTATTTAAAAGTATGATGCCAAAATAAAAAAATAAAAAAAATAAAAATATGATGTCTAGTTTTGGGATAGTTGAATGAAATTTTAGAAAGTCATAGGAAAGCTTGAAGGTAAATTAAATGACTATAAAATATGAAACAGACTGTAGTATTTTCAAAAGCATTGTTATGTATTTGAGTAGAATACATGTTAAATTCTATTATGTCCCCGGAGCTCATATAAAGTAAACCTCTTCTTAAAAGAAGGTTTTTGAACAAAATCATTTCCTTAAGATTCCTGAAGTATTTTAAAGGGAATTTTTAGTGTGCTAAAAACTTTCTATGATTTTTATAAAAGTGGTGGTCAGATTTAATTCAGTGCTTTCCTGTTGCTGATAGGTACACACTGGTGGATATTTTGCGTGCCATCTTGCTTTCCTTAGAAGCTATGATTGAAGATCCTGAGCTTCAAGTGAATGGGTTTGTTTTGATCATAGACTGGAGTAACTTCACCTTCAAGCAAGCCTCTAAACTTACACCAAGCATGCTGCGATTAGCTATTGAAGGCCTGCAGGTAAGGATATACAAATTACCCAGTTTCTTAGTCTCCCATGCTTGACTTTTCTCGTCTAATGTGTTAGAATAACAAAATGTCTTACGTACAGAATAACAACAAAAATTTTTTATAGTTTTTGAACACAAACATTAACATACTAACTGAACAAAGGATTACAGAAGAAAAGCTGAAGGCAAAAAGCCTTTTAATAGTTAGATGAGAGTTTGTGATACTTGGCACAGTACATATGATGTCTAAATATAAATATAGGTAAGGAAGGAACTGAGATTTTTAATCTTGAAAATCAGAACAAGCAACATTTTTTGGATTTTAATGATTAGCTCTTTAGGCTTATTTTTTGTTTCTCTTTTCTTTTCTGTATATATTAATTAATTAGTTAAATATCACCTTCAATATTCCATTTAACCTGGTGAATTTGGGATATGATCAGGAATATCTTCATGTTACTGTTGGAAAGTCAGTCAATATGTTATTTGGTCTTGAAGATACAAAGTCACTGTTTCGAATTACTTTTGACCTTTAGAGTTAATTGATTTTTTGTTTTGTTTTGTTTTCTGGTCGGAAGGGTTGTCATATATAATTTATACAGGAATATCTTCTAGGGAATGATATTTAGCTGGTTGGGAATTATAATATGAAAAATGAATTATTATTTAGTGGCATGTCATAAACCTGCTGTTGTCAATTTCTTTTTTACTTCTAAGATGTCCTTCTGCTCTTTCTCTGTACCTTGCTGTATGCTACTTTGTGTATAATATTTATGGAATTGATTTTAAGCTTTTAAAAAGATTTGCAAGTTAACTCTTGAGTGATGTTATTCAGTATTTATTCTTTGTTTTTCTTTGTGTTTTAGATGCAAGTTAACAGTTAACATTTCTAATTTTTGCCACTAAAAATATCACTTGTTTTAAAATAATGAATTGTATTTTTGTCATTCATTAGGTCAGGTTGTTAGATTTTTTTATGTTGAATAAGCCAAAATTATCCAAATCTCTACTCCATAGTAATTTATGACTGCATCTATATGCACCTAAATTGATGACTGCTGACTCCGTAAAAATGGGCTACTTCTCAAGGTGGCAGGATATCTCATACAAATTGAATTCATGGTTTGTTGTCTGCTTCTGGACTGAATGAGATACACTGATCTTTCTTCTCCACGCAGGGTTTCCTGACTTGCTCTTGGTGAGTCAGTCTTGCTCCTATGTTCTCTTAAACAACACTGTTTTTTAACTCCACAGAGACAGTTAATAAAGGTTGGGGGAGGACACAGGATAATACATGTTTGGAAATGTGTGTATCAGGCAGAATCAGTACTAATTCTACCCTATTGCCAGCAATATAAAGTGTTCTTCAGTTTGTGAAGAAAATTGGCTTCCAACAATTATGTTACTTAACACAGAATGGCAAGCTAGTCTTTTATAATTGTTATCCCTGTTTAACCTGTGTCTTCTCTTTGCTCTTGGGTATGCTAGGCCTTCAGCTGCATGAAGGACTAGAGAATTCCTGTTAGTCCAGAGAAATTAAAAACAAACAAACAAACAAAAAAAGACATGTCTCAAGGATAGATTGAGTACCTTGCTATTTTCTAACTGACATACTTTATGGAGTCATTTAATAATAATGTGACAAGTCATTGCAGGAGAACAAACTGACAACTCAGCAATGTTTGGGAGCTTAGTCATTAACCCTGTCACTGTAAGAACTTCTTTAAGTGCAAAATGTGAGCATGGCAGGAGCTAAAGTCAGGTTAAACCTCCATATTTGTGTCTAGACATGGAAATGATGCTCCCTCACTGCAGGGACCTGTGCTGGCTGCACATAGAAAGCTGTCCTCTCTCTATTCCCCATAAATGCCTCAGTTCTTTTTTCCTTTTTCCCAGAACACAGACTGAGTAGATAGGGTTCATTCCTCCTGATTCCTAGTTAGGAAGTCATTTAAAATAAGAGACCTCTTCCTGGAAATAAATTTGACATGTTACTAACCTTTAAACTCAATTTTTCTCCAGTTCAAATAGATGTTTTAATGCTGTATAAGCTATATCTGTATCTGTGTCTATGTCTGTGTCTATATATATATCTAAAAGCAATAGTAATTCTACACTTGATCTTAGCCAAAAGGCCGTGAAGCAATAAAAAAAGCAATAGTAATTCTAAATAAAAATATAGGATTGCTAAAAAATGTTCCATTGTGACAAGCATGATCTCATATTTAGCCTCATATAGAAGTACCATTTTCTGACTTTAAATCAAATCTCTGTTTTACTTTGCATTTACTATGTGAGAAACATCACATTGTGCATTGCTATATGTTTCATCCAGAATATGAATAAACATCTTTTTTCAAGATTTACATAAGACTGCAAATATTTGAAGTAAAGATGCTTACACAATTTTAGGTTGCTAAACACAACCACCACCATCACCAAGAGACTACCACCACCACAACAATAATAAATCCCTTCCAGTCAATCCAGTTAGGGAAATGAAGAGATGAGAATATTTTAAATAACTCAGTGATAACTTATGCCATACTTCTTCTATAATGTTAATTTTATTTAGGCAAACGTAAAAATTTTCTAGGGATTTGGACCAAAAATAAGAAAAGCTCTCGGTAGGTCTAGTGCCAGAGAGGAAATTTACTTTTATGATGTGCATTATAAATGGAATGTAACTGTGATTTGAAGAGGGCCTGTCTCTCTTTCTCTTGAGCTGGCTGTGTAAACTGTCTGTTCATATCACCAACCTCCCTTTTCCTTAAGCAAAAGAGTATTTTGAGTGACCTGACTAGAGATAGCACATGATACATTGTATAAAGACACATGGACCATTACTCTAGGTCCATATGTAATCACACTATAAGGCCAATTGGAAAAGGATGTGGAAGAGGGGAAATAGAATGGGTGATAGAGGCACACAGACCTGGATTTGAATGGCAAGCCTGCCACATATGAAATACTTGAGCAGATTACTAAACTTGTTTGAATCACAGTCTACTCATTTGTACCAATTTTAAACTGTAATTATATTAGAAATGATACATCTTGCACCTAGCAGGTGATATCAATGATTAAAGTAATTGATGTGGATCAGCTCATTTTTCAGGCGGCATATTCTTTTGGATGTGTGCTGCTTCTCTCACAACTCAGTGACTATATACACTGTGATAAATTAAAGTTGATTGACTTTGGGAATCTGAATAATACCATATTTTTCTTTTGTTGCTCAGGTTGTAGATACACAGACTGCATTTTTTTCCTGTCACTTCTTTGTAGTTAAATAGCATCTAACTATTTTCATGTTGGATGCCAAATAAAATGTGTTTTCATGTTGGAAGCCAAAGAACAAATGAGATTGTTTCGCCTGATGAAATTTAATCTTTGTTTCTTTTGGGATAAGCTCCAGGCACAGCTAGAAAGGTGGTATTTTTGGAGATATCCTTGGCTTTGAGGGTTGAGCAAGAATTTGCTAAGTGGACAAGAACAGGAAGGGTGTATTGGTCAGGGGAACATTGGGAAAGTACTTAGAACAAAAACATAGCTATAGGGGGTTAAAGTACATGATGCATCTGTTTTGAAATGGCTAGAATGAGAAATGCATTGAGGAGAATAACCAGAAATAAGCCTGGAAAGGCAGGCTGAAACCTGGCTCTATGGGACAAATGACTGTATATTATGGGGTTTGTCCTATACTCTCCAGATATAGGGAGGTTTGGGAAAGGAAAGTACCCTAATCACTTTTCTGTTCTGGAAAGATCTTTTGGGTAGAAGAATGGACTTGAATTAAAGGAAGTTATATCTAGAGAACCCAAAAACCACCCTTGGGGTAATTATAATATTTTCATTTTATAGAACAGGAAATGAAACTTCAGGGATTTTAAAAGATGCTTAACAAAGCATCTTAAATTTCCTAAGCTGATTGACTCAACACTTGAGTCCAGGATGTCTGACTCCAAAGACCAAGGCCTTTCCTGAATATTGTTGTTTCTATTATTTCCGGGCCTGTCCTTAAGAAAAAGTCACTAGACTCAGGTTAAAATTACTGTCTCCCCATCTCCAAATCTTGACATTTTAATATAGGTGACATTTGTTTATTAGGATAGACAGTGTTATTCTAACTACAGAAGTCACAAATGGTTGGCTTATGGCTTTGTACTTTTTTGACACCAAGTAGCAGACTATTTTCTTTTTCTCAGTGAGCTGCATTTTTAAGTGACCACCAGCCTCCCAGTCCTCTGTGATAGATCATGCAGGCCAAGGGGAAGCATCTTTGCTGATAGGCAAAGAGGACTTTTATCACCTCAACCACAAATTGATAATTCATTTATAATATTGTTCCAAGGCAAGTCTATATGCTTTCTCTGTGTAGAATCTTCAAATGTTCTCAAATATGAAAGATATCAACCATTTTTACCAACATAACGTAGTTCCGTGATGAGTAAAAGGCAACATTAGATATTTTTGTGGAAAGAAACTATGCAGGCTTCATTTGGTAAAAAAATAAAAGAGCAAGAGAACATTGTCTTGCTACTCACAAGAAGTTAATTGATTAGGGTAGTCATAGAAACAGGAAGTTTCTTAGAAAATCAATGCAAGATTAAGTGAATGTGACTGGTAGACTAAGATATCTGCCTGGGAAGCCAATTAAAACATGAAATGTTTGGAAATACCTGGGACAGCTTAGATTCTGAATTACGGGGAAATGATGTTATTATGTGCTTTTAATATTTTTTATTGCTGTTGCTCTATTTTGTCTCGTAAAATGTCCCTAAAACTCTTTATTAATGAAAAACTCAAACTTTTTAATGAATCCAGAATCTCCCAATTTGTAAATTTTTTAACTTATCCTAACCTACCTGTGTTTTTGTTGCCCTTTGGAGATATTTATTTGTCATCCCTCTTTAGCGCTGTCCTGCTGTGTCTCTGTGCTTTTGCTTTCACAATTTCACAGGAATCCCCAAACTCCATCTGCCAAAAAAGTTCATAATGCAGTCAAGG